AAGTAAAAAATATTGTTTTTCTTCATAATTTTCGGTCTTTTTTTGTTTATAGCGCGAAAAATAAAAAGCGCACAGGTGATCAAATACCACCAAAAGAAAGCTCTATTTGTGTGAAAAAAGGACATAAATTTTGTTTGGGTGCAGCATTGCATGACCGCTCAATTATCAGTTGAATTAGTGTAGAACCGAGTAGCAAAAAGAGGCCTGGTCATTAAGGAGGGTAAATCCTCTAGAGGGCAAGTGGTTAAGATTTCTCAAAATATCAGTTAATTTCTATTGGACAAGTATGGTAGCTCTTTCCTAATATGAACAATATCATACACATTTAAAGCAGAACTACACTGCATCCGTGTGCCACAAACCAAAAGTAATATTTAATTCATTTTTAATATTAAAAACAAATTCTCTCATCCATCCATGTCTCCATGCTTTATTTTGCTGAAAAATCGCTAAGAAAAACACCCCCTAGCATTTCTGGCTGTGGCCATCTTGAGTAAGGACAGATGAGTCATGTAGCATTTTCTTGGTATTCATCTGCCCTTGGCTAAGGCGTGCAGGCAGAAGGGTAAGCCTAGTTGACAAAACCCTTCCTCCTCTCCTGAAAACATCATTTGCCTAGACAAGAAACCAGGAAGTAACTGAAGAAATGTAAAAAATGACATACTTTCCTATCTGTTTACTAATACTGGCACCATAAGGATTCAAAATAGTCAATGCTGATTGAGAGAGTGAAGCTTCACTTTAACAACTATCACTATTGCCACTGTGGAAGTTCTGTGTGTAGTGGAAATAAATGTAACGGACCATATTTTTTTTAAACTGCACTACATTGGACCACTGGAACCCATGGGTCAGTACCTGTGTCATCAGGTTAACATCCTAAAATGTAAGTGCCAAGTCTCAAGATCTATAAGCCAACATTATTTTCTATTTTTCTTGTTCTGTCATGGGCATGCCTGAATATTTGTAGATAAATGTATACATGTAACTGTAGTAGTAAGGAGATGCTCAGGATGTTGAGACAACATCATGATTAGAGATGAGCGAATTATTCAAAAATTCGATTCGGCTGATTCGCCGAATTTGCGGGAGAAATTCGATTCGATGCGAATTTATTCGCCGCAAATTTAACTTATTTAAAGGGTTTCTAGGCTTCAGAGAGCCTTTATATTAGTGCAGAACACTGTACCTTTAATTTAAATGCCCTTGGAGTCTGCTGGGGAAGAGAAATAATACTGTCAGTCAGTATGACATGCAGATGAGTGCCGTCGATCTTAGAATCACCGCACACTTCACTCATTTGGGCAGTCACGGGGCACGACGAAGAAGAAGAATGAAAAGAAGAATGAAAAGAAGAAGAAGAAGAAGAATAAAAAGAAGAATGAAAAGAAGAAGAAGAAGAATGAAAAGAAGAAGAAGAAGAAGAATGAAAAGAAGAATGAAAAGAAGAAGAAGAAGAATGAAAAGAAGAAGAAGAAGAATGAAAAGAAGAAGAAGAAGAATGAAAAGAAGAATGAAAAGAAGAAGAAGAAGAATGAAAAGAAGAAGAAGAAGAATGAAAAGAAGAATGAAAAGAAGAAGAAGAAGAATGAAAAGAAGAAGAAGAATGAAAAGAAGAATGAAAAGAAGAAGAAGAATGAAAAGAAGAAGAAGAAGAATGAAAAGAAGAATGAAAAGAAGAAGAAGAAGAATGAAAAGAAGAAGAAGAAGAATGAAAAGAAGAATGAAAAGAAGAAGAAGAAGAATGAAAAGAAGAAGAAGAAGAATGAAAAGAAGAATGAAAAGAAGAAGAAGAAGAATGAAAAGAAGAAGAAGAAGAAGAATGAAAAAGAAGAAGAAGAAGAAGAATGAAAAGAAGAATGAAAAGAAGAAGAAGAAGAATGAAAAGAAGAAGAAGAAGAATGAAAAGAAGAATGAAAAGAAGAAGAAGAATGAAAAGAAGAAGAAGAAGAATGAAAAGAAGAATGAAAAGAAGAATGAAAAGAAGAAGAAGAAGAAGAATGAAAAGAAGAAGAAGAAGAATGAAAAGAAGAATGAAAAGAAGAAGAAGAAGAATGAAAAGAAGAATGAGAAGAAGAATGAAAAGAAGAATGAAAAGAAGAATGAAAAGAAGAAGAAGAAGAATGAAAAGAAGAAGAAGAAGAATGAAAAGAAGAATGAAAAGAAGAAGAAGAATGAAAAGAAGAATGAAAAGAAGAAGAAGAATGAAAAGAAGAAGAAGAAGAATGAAAAGAAGAATGAAAAGAAGAAGAAGAAGAATGAAAAGAAGAATGAAAAGAAGAAGAAGAAGAATGAAAAGAAGAAGAAGAAGAATGAAAAGAAGACAAAGAATGAAAAGAAGAAGAATTCCAGTACAGCAAAAAGTGTATCTGCAGAGAGCTCCGCTATTTCTGACAGTTCTCTGACAGTTCTGACAGTTCATTTACAGCGGTTGAAACATTGTATCTATTTATTTCCAAATAAAAACATCTGTATCCTAAATGGAAACAAATAGATACAATGTTTCAACTGCTGTAAATGAACTGTCAGAACTGTCAGAGAACTGTCAGAAATAGCGGAGCTCTCTGCAGTGACACTTTTGCCGGCTGATCGGGGAAAATTCGATTCGTGCATCCGAAGTTTGCTAAAATTCGGATTCGATGCGAATCGAATTTTTCCTAATATTCGAAACGAATTCCACTTTGCCAAGTTCGATTCGCTCATCTCTAATCATGATAACTCCCTCTATTTAAAAAAAAAACACAGAGCCATTTTTTTCTTTCTCTTGTTTATTGGTCGATACAGTTAAAAGATAACTATAGAAATAATACATTCAAAGGCTCCAATAGCACATTTATTCTTTTTTTGGGTACTTGTTAGTGGTATAAGAGCTTGCAAACTGTGACATCTCAGGAGATCAAGCTTAATCCTGGTTTTGAGTAAAAGTGGCTCTTGGTGTGACATATGAGAACTAACAGCAGAACAAGGCAAAGTATGTAAGGAATGAGGGTTGTTGTTTTTCAGTTAATAAAGTGAAAAGTGCAAGTTTTGTTGACTCACATTATGGATATTTTTTTTAAGGGAAAGGATGAAACGTTTTCCAACAGGGCCAAAAGGTGCAATAAACACTGGATAGGGATTTAAACCCTCATCAACATTATACAAACATAAAATAGCTTTGACTGGAGTTTAACTCCATTATGTTGTGTCATTGTTAGATTGATTGTCTGTTCTGAGCATTAAATAATATTAAATAAGTTCTCAAGCTACTAAATGGATGGAGATTGCCCACTTCTACGTATTTATTTAAGATGAGCGTTCTTCTTCGCCAATCTAAGTGTTGCAAGTGTGATCTCTATAACTGATCCAGTTGTGGTGAGATTGCTAAGCCTGAAAATCTCAGCAGTATATGATATACTCAAACTACACTGTTTGCACAATTATTAGTCAAGTTGTATTTTTGAAGATTAATTTCATTATTGAACAACTACAGTGCACTCGGTCAATCCAAAATGTTAGTAAACCTCAAGCCTGAATATTTAAGATAGCAAAAGTGAGGTTTTGGCTCTAAGGAAAAATATATATGTGTGCACAATTAATGGGCAACTGCTAGTGTGCAGAATTATTATGCAACTGAATGAAAAATGAAAATTTTCCCATTTCACATATTTATTTTCATTTGTTAAAGTGAGAATAATAAACAAACAACTCAAAATGAACAAATAAACATTTCTGATATTAAAAAGAAAAAAAAAAAATTGGTGACCAATATAGCAACCCTTCTTTTCAAATAACAGTCATAAGCCTTCCGTTCATGGAGTCTGTCAATTTCTTGATCTGTTGATGAACAATTTTCTCTGCAGCAGCAACTACAGCCTCCCAGACACTGTTCAGAGAGGTGTTTTCTTACACCGTAAATCTCCCATTTAAGAAGGGCCTACAAGTTCTCCATAAGGTTTAGGTCAGATGAAGAAGGCTAGCCACGCAGTGGTGTCCTTCAATGCATGTGATAGAGCATTATCCTGCATCAAAATATCATGGTCTTCTTGAAAGATGCAGACTTTTCCCTGTACCACTGCTTAAAGAAATTGTCTTCTAAAAACTGGCAGTATGTTTGGTAGTTGATTTTGAGCCCATTTTCAACCTGAAAAGGTCCAACGAGCTTATTTTTTAATAATACCAGCGCATACCAGTACCCCACCTCCACTTTGCTGGCATCTGAATCAAAATGGAGCTCTGTGCCCATTATTGATCCAGCCATGGGCCCATGCATCTGGTCTGTCATCTCATCAGTCCATAAAACCTTTGAAAAATCTGATAGATATTTCAGGTATTTCTTGGCCCTGTCTTGATGTTTCAATTTATGTGTCTTGTTCAGTGGTGGTTGGGATTCAACCTTCCTTACTTTGGCCATGTCTCTGAACGCTGAACACCTTGTATTGCTGGGCACTCTAGATAGGTTGTAGTTCTGGAATATGACATCACTGGAGGAAAATGAGTTCCTGGTAGCTTCACATTTGATTCTTCTCATTTCTTTGGCAGGTAATTTGCATCTTTTGTTCTCAACACGTTTCTTGTGACCCTGTTGATTATTTGCAACAAAACCTTTGAAAAGTGAAAAAAATTGTAAAATATCTTTCAAAGGGATGCAGCACTATTGAAATTGCTAAGATATCGGGGTGTGATCACAGAACTATCAGAGTCAATTCAATCACTTTTTTGGCCCATTTTGCCTGAAGAAAAGAAGCTGAATTATGCACAGCTTGATATAGGGTGTTGATCTCCTTAGGCCACACCCTCCCTCATTACACAAATACACATCACCTGATATGCTTAAATCCAATATACATTCAAATTTATACAGCTTGGAGTTGGACAATATGCATAAAAATGAAGAATTGGTCAAAATACTGAAAAAAAAAATTCTTTGCCTAATAATTGTTCACACAGTGTTGATTTATAACCTTGGTGAACCTTATTTTAAGGAGCAAATATCCTGTAAAAATAAAATCTGCATCACACTAACTAGGAAGCTGCTTGAAATGAATTATTATTTTCTTAAGAGCTTGCTTTACCTCACTGTTTCTAAAGGTATAAATAAAGGGGTTTAGTGCTGGAGTGACAACCGTGTACATAAGTGCAAGGAATTTATCATAGTGGCTGCCTTGAGGTCTGACATACACAATAATTGCTGAACCATAGAACAGACAGACCACGATGAGATGAGATGAACAGGTTGAAAAAACTTTCTTTTTCCCATCTTTGCTTTTAATCTTCAGGACATTAACTATTATGCAAATGTATAATGTGACAATTGTAACAAATGGAAAAACAACTGAAATAATTGCGGCCAATACTGTAACTATGCCACTGTAAAAAGAGTTGGAACATGCCAAATTCTGCAGTGGAGCCAGATCACAGAAAAAGTGGTCAATCATGTTAGGGCCACAGAACTCCAGAAGAATAGTAAAGCAAGTAGGGAAGAAAGAAACAATGAAACCGCCAAGCCATGGAAGGACTGCTACTTTTGAACAAAATTTACTGTTCATAATTGTTGAATATCTCAATGGATTGTTTATAGCCAAATATCGATCAAAGACCATTAATGCAAGGAGAAAACATTCGGTTTCCCCCCAAGGCATTAAAGGCATACATTTGTAAAAAGCATCCAATGAATGCTATGGTCTTTTTTAGTCTGAAGTAAGATTGATAAGAGATTTGGAACTGAAACTGAAAATAAACATTATTTCTAAAACAGCAAATACACTAATGAAAAAATACATGGGATTGTGAAGAGAAGCCTCCATTTTAACTAAAATAATTATGGCAATGTTTCCAAAAACACATATAATGTATGCTAGAAGTATTAGGCAATACAAAACATTTTGAAATTCACGGAAGTCGGAAAACCCCAAAAGAAGAAAATTCCTTCACCACAGTGTTGTTGGTATTTTGCATCGTGTTCTGAAAATGCATAATAGAAAAGATACATCATTTATACCCACTAAATGGAGATCTTCAAGTGAACTTGTTCTTATGAAATGTTTGAAACCAATACTCTTGCAATAAACAAGGCACCATAATATGTCAGGCTGTAGTGGTGTTATGGTGCCCTCAACATGCCTATTGAAGAAAAACAAGACTTTCAAAGTTGTAGCATAGGCACACTGCAAACTTTCTACATATCAAGTCTGTTAACAGGCTGCCATATATTGCATATGAAGTTCCACCTGAGCACATGACATTACTCCATTGCCTGGAAGTCCATTATTGTTTCTTACTACTCTGTATTCTTACAAAATGAAAGTGTATGTAAACTAAACCTCATATCTATTTTTAACCCATTAAAAAATAAAGATAATTGCAGTTAAAAAAAAAAATGCTTCTAATATGACATTAACACCTGGTGATGTTTGTCATTAAAGTTTTTGTTCAGGTGCTTCCTGTTTTAAGGGGACAACCAGGGGCGGACTGACAACTCATGGGGCCCCCGGGCAATAGGGGATCATGGGGCCCCTTTGTCCTTGCCCAAACTCAAAAAAGCCTATGAAAAAGGTACCAGGGGCATCTAATGGGGCCCCCTACTGACCCCGGTCCCTCGGGCAGTGGCCAAGTTTCCAAATGGTCAGTCTGCTCCTGGTGACAACACTCTGTTTTGTCTCTGAATTACTTCTGTACTGTCACCCTGACACTAGAGAAGAGTGAATCTGTCTGGGTTTGAGAATCTTGTTTAGAGATGAGCGAATCGAAGTAGGCGAAGTGGAATTCGTTTCGAATATTGGAAAATTTTCGATTTGCGCCGAATCCGAAAAATAGCCTACTTCGGACGCGCGAATCGAAATTTTTCCTAAAATGGCGGCGGACATGTGCGGCGACGGAGCGGGGATGTCTGGGAAGGCGCGCAGACAAGGCGCGCTGACCCATAATGCATTCCTTAATGACATGTGATCGCATTAGCCAATCAGCAGCCAGCCAGCCAGCACTGTGTAATGGTCGAGCTATAAATGGCGGCCATTTTAGAATTCTTCATTTGCCTCCAGTCATTCAAGAGAGGCAGACCGCTCTGTATTAGGGACAGAGTTAGGGCCACAGAAACGTTACTTGGGGACAGAGAAACGTTACTTAGGGACAGAGAAACATTACTCAGGGACACAGAATTGTTAGTGAGGGCCACAGAATCGTTACTTAGGCCACAGAAACGCTAGTTAGGGCCACAGAACTGTTACTCAGGGACAGACACAGAATTGTTACTGAGGGCCACAGAATTGTTACTTAGGGCCACAGAAACGTTACTCAGGGACACAGAATTGTTACTGAGGGCCACAGAACCGTTACTTAGGGCCACAGAATTGTTACTCAGGTTACTCAGGACAGACACAGAATTGTTACTTAGGGCCACAGAAACGTTACTCAGGGACACAGAAACGTTACTCAGGGACACAGAATTGTTACTGAGGGCCACAGAACCGTTACTTAGGGCCACAGAATTGTTACTCGGGGACAGACACAGAATTGTTACTGAGGGCCAAGAATTGTTACTTAGGGCCACAGAAACATTACTCAGGGACACAGAATTGTTACTGAGGGCCACAGAACCGTTACTTAGGGCCACAGAATTGTTACTCAGGGACAGACACAGAATTGTTACTGAGGGCCACAGAATTGTTACTTAGGGCCACAGAAACGTTACTCAGGGACACAGAATTGTTACTGAGGGCCACAGAACCGTTACTTAGGGCCACAGAACCGTTACTCAGGGACAGACACAGAATTGTTACTGAGGGACACAGAATTGTTACTGAGGGCCACAGAACCTGTTACTTAGGGCCACAGAATTGTTACTCAGGGACACAGAATTGTTACTGAGGGCCACAGAATTACTTACTTAGGGCCACAGAATTGTTACTGAGGGCCACACAGAATTGTTACTCAGGGACAGACACAGAATTGTTACTCAGGGACACAGAATTGTTACTTAGGGCCACAGAAACGTTACTCAGGGACACAGAATTGTTACTGAGGGCCACAGAACCGTTACTTAGGGCCACAGAATTGTTACTCAGGGACAGACACAGAATTGTTACTGAGGGCCACAGAATTGTTACTTAGGGCCACAGAAACGTTACTCAGGGACACAGAATTGTTACTGAGGGCCACAGAACCGTTACTTAGGGCCACAGAATTGTTACTCAGGGACACAGAATTGTTACTGAGGGCCACAGAATTGTTACTTAGGGCCACAGAATTGTTACTTAGGGGGCCACAGAATTGTTACTCAGGGACACAGAATTGTTACTGAGGGCCACAGAAACCGTTACTTAGGGCCACAGAATTGTTACTCAGGGACACAGAATTGTTACTGAGGGCCACAGAACCATTACTTAGGGCCACAGAATTGTTACTCAGGGACAGACACAGAATTGTTACTCAGGGCCACAGAATTGTTACTGAGGGCCACAGAACCGTTACTTAGGGCCACAGAAACGTTACTCAGGGACACAGAATTGTTACTGAGGGCCACAGAACCGTTACTTAGGGCCACAGAATTGTTACTCAGGGACAGACACAGAATTTGTTACTCAGGGACACAGAATTGTTACTCAGGGACACAGAATCGTTTAATTAAAGAGTATGTCAGACAACATGCAGAGGAGTGGCAGAGGAGGCAATGTTTTAGGAGCGAGCAGACGTGGCAGCAGAGGAAGGGGTCGAGGCAGCACTATTCGCGCAGCCAGAGGCCAGTGCTCCCGGTGGTGTCATCCAGCGGTCGTGTCTCCACCGACAACCCTGCCGTCATCGATTTGGTTGGCTCGGTCGTCTTCCTCTTCCCAGGTCACCTCTGACACCTACAGCCAACGGTCGGTGGGTACGTCAGACACAACCATTAGTTGGCATGGCCCGGGAGCAAGCCCACTGAAATCACGTGTCCTCTACCTGCCCCTGTCCTTTGGTGTTTCCTCACCAAGCAAAGTATCGCATGCTGTGGGCTCAGCCCCACTGTACAGTGAGGAAGAGCTAACAGAGGGCGGTCAGGAACGGGGGGGGGAGACATCCGCCTTTTCAGCAGCCAGGCGAAGAAGTACTGGCGAGGAGAGAGTGGCTCGGTAGCCGGTCTAGAGACAGGTCTGTCTCCTGACCCAGACGCAGCCGAGGGGGCTAGTAGTGAGGCGGAGACCCTACTTGATGATGAGGAGGTTGATCGCACTTGGCAGCCTCGTCGTCATCAGGCAATTTCTTCCGCATCATCAGGAGAAGAGGGTGGCAGCTTGGCAGCGAGCGAAACAGTCGGTGGGTTGCCCAGGAGGCAGCAGGGTCGCAGCAGTGTCAGTGGAGCCAAACGGCCACGGAGTAGAGCACCAGCTCCACTGCAGCCTATTACCACGGCCAGTAGTGGTGCCGGTGTGCACGGAGGAAGCAGCAGTCAGCCAGTGAGGAGTATCGGGGGCAAAGTTTCCTCTCGGCGGTGTGGCAATTTTTCGTCAAGCCGCCCGAGGAAGTAAACGTAGCCGTATGTCGACTATGTGGCCAGAAAGTCAAGCGTGGCCAGGGGGCCCATGTTGGGACTACAGCGTTGCGGCAGCATATGCAGCGTCGCCATTTGGTGGCCTGGGAAAACCGTGATAAAGATACGGCGGTTCTGCCCGCCCCAGCCCCCCCCGCTCCATCACCCGCTCCGTTACTTGCTCCGTCACCCGACGTCAATCGCCCTCCATCAGCCAGTCAAGGCTCCAACACCTCTGCTGAGGGGAGTTGTCGCTCGTTGGCATCTTCCGCTCGTTCAGATGCTCCTTCTCCTGCTACTCCTCTTCACGGATTCCGTCAGCAGTCTTTCTTGGAATCCGTTTCCAAGAGACAACAGTTTGCGAGCACGCACCCGACGGTGCAAAAGCTGAACGTCCTCCTGTCCAAGTTGCTGGTGCTGCAGTCCCTCCCTTTCCAAGTGGTGGACTCAGCACCTTTCCGAGAAATGATGGCTTGTGCCGCGCCGCGGTGGAGAGTGCCAAGCCGTCATTTCTTCGCCAAAAAGGCAGTGCCAGCCCTGCATTCACATGTAGAAGAGATGGTGGGCCAGTCTTTGAGCATGTCGGTCTCTGCCAAAGTGCACGGCAGCGCCGACGTGTGGAGCTGTAACTACGGTCAGGGACAGTACATGTCATTTACGGCCCACTGGGTGAACGTGGTGCCGTCACAGCCGCACCAGCAACTTGGACAGGTCACGCCGCTTTTGCCTCCACGTTTGCACGTCCTTGGTCCCAAAAGATGTCCGCCTCTACCACCTCTTCTTCCGCCGTGTCCTCAGCCGCCACCCCCCCGTGCCAAGTCCCATTACCCGACCGGCATATCACATGTGCAGGGCGCAACGGTGTCACGCTGTGCTGCACCTGGTATGCCTTGGCGAACGTAGTCACACAGGGGAGGAACTTCTCTGTAATGAACAGAGAAATCGACAGATGGCTGTCTCCGCGCAAACTGAAAATCGGAACCATGTTGACCGACAACGGAAAGAACATGGTGTCTGCTCTGCGTCAAGGAAGGTTGTGCCATGCGCCATGCATGGCTCACGTGTTCAATCTGGTTTGTCAAGCGGTTCCTAAAATCCACCATCCCACTGCAAGACATCCTTAAAATGTCACGTAAACTTTGCATGCAT